AGTATCACCACATTGTTTATACTTCTTCTATTTTCAGTGAAAACAACCTTCAACGACTGCTTCTTTATCATAAGATTTTCCTCTACCACCGGTATTATTGTTCCTTTCGTTCAAATTTTACGACTTTCCAACTGTAATTACGACTATTTATAAACGTCAATGTACTTTTACAGTCGTACTTCTTCGTCCTTTTAATAGCATTTCTATAATATTTTATCGCGTTATTAAATTTTAGTGGATGTCATTAAAAAGCTGTATACGTGTCCATTCAAAGAGCTCAGGATAATCACAGAGGTTTCCGGTTGATTTGCATTCAATACTATTGTGACGATATTAATAGTCCCTCAAGTGAAACCGATCTGAGAATCAACTGAGCAGATAATGGATTGATAAAAAATATACATCTTGTTATTGATATTACAACACTTTGTACATGCACGGATATAAATGCATTTATTCTCTTTCATTTTGGTATAGAAGTGCTTGCTTGTGACTATAACCAGCGCAATCAGGTCGAAACGTCTACCAAAATACAAGATCAAAGAGAAGTGGCATTCATTTTTTGTGTCAGCACGTGGGGGTAGTAAATTGCAATTTATTAATTAAAAGCATACTTTTTGATCTTGTAGACAGTAGAACTGAAGATGATTATGACATTTATCAGTCTTTGCGCTAAGTTAAAAAAATATTCAAAATATCAATAGAAATTTGAGACAGTTAAAACGATCCACATCAGCTTGTAAGGGCTACTCTCCACAAACTAGGAGAGAGAGGTACAGGTTGAACTGTTTACTAAGTTATATTTAACTATAATGCTTCAACGATTGACTTCTCCCAAACGTCTCTTGACGACGTCTATCAACATTAAAATCGGTGCGTCTGGAAAACGAAAATAGCTGGTCTTGTCAGTGATCTATTTTTCTAACGGAGTGACATCAACCTGTAGTAATTTTTAACGATTGGGACAGATGCGAAAGTTCTTAAAACACAATATGTGTCAAGGACCCGCAAATTCCACCTTCAATTTCATTTAATTAGTGTCGCCCAAAAACTTCACAAATATTTGTGACAGACACTTTGTCTGTTTGACCTTAGGTTATTTCGGATACTGATCCTCCATCTAGACTAATTTTGTAAATATTTACTAAGTCTGAACCAAATATAGGAAGCGTAAAGATCCGTTAGTGTTTTCTTTGAAAACTTAGCTGGAATTGCACATGATTGATGGTATAGCGCGATCTGTACGTGGAAATATTTTGTTGTCTAAATTCAACTGGGAGTTTGACGTTGGTTCATATTTCATGCGATGATATTCTTTGGTCAAAGATGTGAAGCTAAGAAAATCAGTCACTGTCTATCATAGACATGGATTTGGCAAATTTCCGTATTTCTGACAGACATTAGGACTTGTTAAAAGTCTTTTATCAGTGCTAACACAAACGAGATATGTAATATAAGTAAATGTTGACGTTTATCATTCAACGTCTTTGTTAGATTTAGTATTGGAGATCCAACTTGACTAAGTCTTTATATTCAGACTGACGTCAATATTGTCCAAGTCTGAAATATTCAGCCTGAGTTAAGGCAAGATTATGATAAAATCAACAAGGGAATCGTTTGCCGTGTCGCATGATGTTATGCTATAAACATGGTGCAATTACGCCATCAAAGTACGCTTAATCTAATGGTTTCGGTAGTTTCAACTCTGGCGCGATAACGTCAACCACCGATAATAGCATTAGCCAGTAGTTTGTCAACTTTAGCTGAACACACGTAAGGGTTTTGGCAAACAGTACATTTATTGTGGAAAAACAATCCATAAAAATTCTTACCAGTAAAACGTTGACTGCCTCGTTGGCCGAGTGGTCGCAATTGCGACTGCCGAGCAAGGGGTCTCGGGTTCGATTCCCGGGTCGGGTAAAGTATTACTGAGTTTTTAAAAAATTCTCAGTAGTAGCACGGAGTCTGGAACTGTGCCCGGTATATGGCAATAGGCTCACCCCCTATTACATGGGACTCATAACATAAATAGTGAAAAGTGGGTGTTACATTGTACAGTGGCATAATGTGCACCTCTGCCTACCCCTTTGAGGATAAAAGGCGTGATGTTATGTTATGTTATGAATTACCTAAAATTCCTTCGAGTGAAAGAACATTAAACTTTTTTACCATCGTTTCTTTTTCAACCAAATTATTAACTAGTTCATTTTGTATTTATTCAGGGTTTGTTCATAAATATATTTAATTTAGATACAACAATATTTGCTTTGTTTTCTTTTGTCACTGTAATCTCTTTAGCTTTTATTATCGTTTAAAGATTTTTGTGAACGTAGCCCTATCCGTAGTGACGTAAATACTTTGATGAAGATTATCGGCCTTTAGATAAAATTAAATAACTCTTACATACCCAATGACGCTTGTTACACATCTAATAGATTTATTGTTACTACATTACCATCAATAACCATAATTCTTGTTCACGATTGCTGAAATCTAAGCTGCAATACATCTACGTCTTGTAATGGACTTATCTAGACAACCTTACCATCTGCTTTGAATTCTAAATGCGGAATTTCTATTTTGAGGTCACCTTTTCAATTTTAGTTTTTATTTCAAGCTTTTTATATACAATCTGGTTTCTTTGCCATTTTTATTCTCTGTTGTACTATAGTTAACGTTATTTTTAGTCCAAGGAAAATAGCATGCTAAACAAAATAGATGCGTTTTGAATAAACTATGTTTTTCCCGTTTCATGATTTTATGTGTGGGCTGTGTTTATCACTATGTCAATCAAAGAGGCGAAGGATTCTGATTCAATAATAATTAAGATATATATGAATCAAGAAATTCATCAGTATGAAGAGCTTATTCATAAGATAACGTCGCTACAGAATGCCAACCATGATGTAATTATACGAGCCGTGTGTTTAACTAATCAACCTGAAATATTATTTTATTTATCACTCACTCAAACTTTTACTCGTGATTGATGTTGAAAATCTCGGCCAAGAATGTTATATGGTAATTTATTTATTTGATAGTAGGTCCAGTAAGAGGCAGATGTTTATGTATTCATTTCAGGGTTGCGCACAAATGTCCATAAAATACGTAAAGTTATGGAGATAGACTAGAAATTTGTTGGAGCAAGAATAATATATCAAGCTAACCCCGAAAATTCAAATCAGTGAGCTAGAAATAATGGTACCTAAATACAATTTTTAATTTTGAACAGGTGCTGTTACATTGTGTAATGATAATAATTCGAATGAAGAGTTGCAACAAAAAATTTATTGATATTAGGCTTAATGTGGCAGAACGCACTGGGCTTTGGTCCAAATCGAAGAAAACGGGTCTAGGTCAACTTTTGTAGTCCACAATTATAAACTGTGGTGCGTTTACACGTACAATATACAAGTGGATAGAAACACTTGATGTGGGCAAGTAATGTTATTGATTGTAATAAAGATAATCTTATCAAACTATAAATAATGTTAAATTAATTTACAGCATTATTGATAAAATATTGTTTCGTAATTTTAATAGGAAAGGAATTTCCATTTTCAAATATACTTGACATAGCATTTTATTCAGGAAAAAATACGATACTTATTAGCTTACCTTTTGCAAGTCTGTTTCATTAAATCATAGGTGTTTGGCAACAGCGTAATAGTCGATGATAAATCGATGCCAAGACTGAGCGTTACATTTCTCACACCTTCGTTCTTTAATCCCAAAACATCTTCCGAATTCTTCACTCAATGACGTAAGCCCAAAATAAACTCGATAGCTCAGACACTGATAGATGAGTTCGTTAACAACATTTGGCAAAATACTAATAGGTGAACCACGAACACTTCTTATGGTTACAATGATGTCATGGTCCAAATACTTGATGTCAATAGTTCTAGCTGCATTGACCTTACTGTACTTAGAAAGGCACGATTAGTTGAATGACCTTTACCCACGAAATTATACATGATATATCACCTACGCATAGCAACTGTCCTAATGTTATAACTACCTCCGCATTGTACAGTCTGGTTGCTTAACCATTTGGTCATTCAAGTGCTAATGAATAGACAGACACAATGGCTGAGTGAGAAATGTCAAGCATTAAAATTAATAGTTGCCCGAACACATGTCCAAACAACTTGTCAATGTTTTACGTGGGTATATTGCAATGATGTTGTGAATGGACGACAATTTTAATCCTTATAGTAAAAGAATTATTGCCAACACAGACTGCAAAACTATTACTGAAAGAAATTGTTCAGTAAAGGGAAATCTATTTAAATAATTAATCATTGAATAGCTTTAATATGAACACATTATTTATACCATCACAGGACAGTTACTGTAGCTTAATGAAAAGACTTTTTTTCTATAATGTAATAATAACTCAAAATTTCACTGAGAGGCATAGTAACGTATGCATTTTGAAAAAGTTACTATAATGTGGCCTTACTGGAGGCTGTGTGTTGTAGAAACCAATTTGTTCTTTATTCTTGAACTATGATTTATTAATCTACACCATTAATCAAGTTTAATGAAAACCAATTACTAAGTCTGCCTGCGGGGCGGCATGCACATACTAAAATATATTTTAATATGTGTGGCGAAGTCATTGAGCAGTTGACTCACCAGCAAACTGACATACTTGGGAACAATCAGTCGTCGTCGGTACTCAGTACAATTTATAAGGCAACTGTTGACATTTACGTCACTAATGTAGTATTAATAATGTAAGGATTATCACTGGCTAGCCAAAATATTTTCTAATAAGTGACAACGTCGTTTCGGCAAGTCACACATCAATCAAATACATAAATATTTTATCTTTCCAATGACATAGGCGTTGATAACACGTCAACAAACGCAGTCCCTCAAATTCATTCAAGTAAAGCGATAGTAAACTTGAAACAATCAATAAACGATGTGGAATTTTGTTAAGTAACAATATTGAGTGTTAAGTGTTAAAGTGACGATAAACAGTGCAAAAAATGGCGCAAACACACACAAAACAATGTCAAATGGACCACAATTACAAACTCGAAAAGAAATATTTGGAAATGAAACGATTGGTGTTAGAGAAGACGGAAGAATTGAAACGAAGAGATAAAATAATCGCATTGCTAGAACATGAGATCGATGAAAAAGATGGAACGATAAGATACTTGAAAAATGAAATTGACAAGTTTCGACAAGTTGTAAAGCCATTGACGAGGCAGTTGATAGATAATCGAAGAAATGGGTTGGAGAGTGAAGAAGATTGCTTTGTGATGAAGACACCAGGTATCGAGAACACAAGGGTCTACCACGTTGGTGAACCCAGGTTGAAGAGGACAGCCATCTCCGCAGAACCACTATCTTCCTTAGCCCAAGGATATGAAATGAAATTAGTGAAAATACCGAAAATGCAAAAGTGAGTATATTTTACAACGAAGTTAAGGGTATAAAGTTGTATTTAAACTGCATGTTATTATGGAAGGCGATGATCCTTATAATATTTATTCGTGGATACATTTTCTAGAATAATTTGTTTTGTACTATAGTTTGTGGTTGTCAATGCGACCACTAAAATTATTATTTAAGTATAAGAAATTCTTACATCAGTCTTAACATTTTTATTGGAACACTGAAATAATCATAGAATTTTAAAATAGCATGCTACTCTTATTTTTTGTATTCAATTATTACGTGTTATTTTTCTGTTTTACGTTTTATGGTTATTGATTGACAGCGGAAAGCTTTTCATCATTCTTTGAACTATTTGGATCAGTATCAGTATTATAATTTATTCTTATACACCTTAAAGTTATACTACAAAAGAAATCGCATATGGTTCGATTCTAATTACTTCCTATTTCAAAGCGAAAACTGTTCAGATGTTTACATTCTAAACAAGAGAATCAAATTGGTATACTGTAATAATGTTTATTAACCATAATTTTTACAGTAACTCTTATATATAAAATTAATCGTTACAACATCATATAAAAAGTGAGTACTTAAGATGAAACTATGGTACCCAAGGTAAGATCAAACTTGTGTTATGGGTACCACCATTGTCCTTCTTCATTTGCACAAACTTAAGTTGTTGGACGAACACTTCAAACAGGTTTAGACTGGAATAAACATTATTCTAATATACTGTACTATATATTATTTTCTAAGTAGGTACTAATGCAGCCTCTTTTGATTTGCGAGTGCATACTTAACTGTCACTAAATGTAAATTGCCTAACATTGTTATTTCATGACTACTAATCGCATTCACGTTTTCTTTTGTAAATGTATTATTTGCCATTTTAATTTAAGTAGGTTTATTAGTCACGAGTATGTACTTAACGTGTGTTTAACATCAATGTTACTTCATCCTAACATGCTCTCACGTTTTCTGTCGACAAATCTGATTTGTCTTATTCGACCGTGACTTTGTAACCTTACCCAGTCTTTTTACGGGTTTGTATATCTGAGTCTGCTTTTAAATTTTCGTGTTTATGTTTTATGGCATCCATTTTAACTCTTAAAGGTGTGAATAATACAATGGTTTCTGCCATTAAGGACAAGAACACAGAAGTTTTAAATACTAAATCATCCACAATTAAGGGACGATCTCTAAACTGATGATGATGCTCTTACAAATGATTTATCGGCCGATTATAATTTTGTCGTCATATCGATACGTAACGTCATCAATCAATCACTCAAGGTAGTGATTGAATTTCTTCTCAGTACAGGCATCGCAAGGCACCATGGCGAGGTCAACGTGTGTTAGCTCGAGTGCCTTCGTTGATCCCATTTGGTATAATTACGTTCGAACTTTATGTGACAACTGTCCTCGCCGACGGCTTCGCAAAGATTGGATCTTTTGTGACTAAAATTTACGACCGCTCGTTTAGAATTTGGGTAATCTCGTGCCATTCTGAAGAATGTTCGTCCGTAAACGAGCCGTTGATGTATTCTGAGTGGATGAAAGCATTGCATCAGTATTTCCTAAACTTAGATTTATTTCTAGTAAATCGTAAAATTCTGTTTTAAGACTTTTCTGTAAGTGTTTGCTACTTGGCAGTATGACGTCTTTGAAGAGATTCTGTTAACAAACACATTGTACGTGTACAGGTCGAGATGACGACAATATTTATGTCCATCGGTTATCCCATAGCAAATAAATTAAAGGAATTAAGTTAATAACACGATGTTTTTCTAAACGCATGATTCATCATTATTCTATCCGTAAAGGAAAGAAAGAAATCAATAAGTACGTAATCATAGGATGACATACCTTGTTTGTTTGAACGCGGTACTCTCTGGAATTACCCGTTTGCAGTAGATTATGAACAGTTGTTTTTGCATTTGGTAAATCAGTATCCTCTAAATTAAGTCACCGTTTGCTATAGGAGGGAATTTTGATGACACCTTGTTTCACTACACAATTATACGATTTATCTTGTTGCGGGATCTAAGACAGTTTTCATGGTTGTACTAGTATCTACTGTATTTTTTGGCTTACAAAAGTTGCAGCGGTGTTGGAAGGTAGTGGCGGGCTTGTCCCATAAAAAACAATATACGAGAATTTATTAAATTAAATAAATAATATTTTAAAATTACCGTGGAAGTAGATAATAATATTACTTATGACTTTATAACCGACCGTAAATAATAATGATAATATACTAAAGTCCTTCCTTCCTCTATTTATAGCATTATTTTTATCATAGACAGGTCTAAGCCATGGTTTATGACACTAATTTTGCATATTGTTGTTAAGGTTAGGTTAGGAACTATTATTAAGGTAATAGGGCATTTATCGAAGTCACCTTGGATGTAGGTGAGGAAGTGTTTATGAAAATAGGTTCATAACTTCATAAGGTACAAAATCTATGCCTTGTTTTTTAAAGGTTACCTATCTGAATGACGAAAATGGGTCAAGTAAAAGTATTATCTATTCAGATTTTGTTTTGTTTTTTATTTAATGTTATTCAAGGTCTCAATGATTCGACTTTAGGAACGAAATGATTAATACCAAATTCGCCAATTGTCTCTACTAATACAACCCAGAAATGTGATGTTAAAGACGTACATTGTCACGCTGTCAGCAGTTTGCTCAATTCCGTAGGCCTGTGTTATTCCAGGTAATCTACCCCTATTCCAAATTTCATCTTGATCCTTTCAGCCTCCTTGCCGTAAAAGAGTGACGAACAAACTAGAAATTCAACTTTAAAGTTACATAATATTCAAGTGCTTACACAAGTGTTTGTCAGTGATGTTAATCCTAGTCGTCAACAGTTGTCGACAAACAGGTCTACAGTAATTGATCGTTATTAATTTAAATGTCACTTGAATTATTGATAACTAGAGAGTTTTATGGTGATAAAATTAAGACTACAATTTTATTATTAATTTTTATTGTTATATTTTGTTAAAAGTACGTGCAGGTATTTATGGACTATTTCAATAGTGGTCTTTCTTTAGAGCGCTCCAAGTAAGGTCCCTTATACCCTACATAACAGAAAAATAATCGAAACCATTTTATCCGAGCCCCATCAACAGTAGGTACACTTATTGTATTTTGAAGACTATTGAAGAAAATATCATTTATACGGTAGCTGTAATATAAAGATGACGATGTAAACAGATTCTAGGTTTCTGTATTATAAAATAATAATAAAGTACCTACCTGTCTATATTTAGGTATCATTAAAGTCTGTTATTAGATTTAAAAGGAATTAAAATTTATAGCTTGCAATCCTATTAAAAGTCACTATTAATATTTAATAAAAGCGTGTTAAAAATAATTCTCGCTTATTTTTATCTCCATCGTCTATTGCTTTGTAAATAGTATTTATCTAGGTGGCAATTTTAAATGAACTATTTCTGCGTCGAATTTCATTCTCAAAGTCGAATTTATTCATTATTGTTACCTAATTAAGTGTCTGCATTAGGTACATGTTTATCGTGAAAGTCAAATGATAAATGACTTTTAAAATACAAATATGTTAAAATTAAATACCTAATATATAACTGTAAATTATAGATACACAGTCAAGCATGTAATTTACTAATTCCTATCACTTACAAAATTATTCCTCCTTTACAGATCCCGGGAGCTGATCAAGAGTGCAATACTGGACAATGACTTCATGAAAAATCTTGAAATGACACAGATCCGCGAGATCGTGGACTGCATGTACCCCGTAGAATATGCAGCTGGCAGCCTATCATCAAGGAAGGAGATGTTGGCAGTATCGTATATGTTATGGAAGGTAAGTCAAAATTCATTCTATAAAACAGAATTTTCTAAATTTTTATGCGTATAGAAATATTTTCTTGGTACAGCGCCATCTAGTGTCGAGTAGATGTATTACAGTTGTCAATGCTTTTACCGCCATCTAGCGGCAACTAGCTAAAACATGTTTCTGTCAGTTCTTGGCAGTTTGTCGAAACAAATAATAGATGGCGCTGCATAACTACAGCTTCTTAGTTTTATCTATTTGGCGCTAGATGACACTAAATAAAGTTTAAAATTGTATGACGTTATTTATTTCGACTATCCTTATTTTATTACTAGCTGTATTTTTAATGCATTACTTTTGGTAATGTACTTATTAATCTATAGTAAATACATCACTAATTAACCATAATCATATCTTATTAGGGTTAATTCTCTCTCCACCTAATATTGAAGCAGTGTGACTTATTTATAAATACCTATAATGTTATTTACAAATACAATTCGATAGACATCATACAACAAAACTACCCAGAGTTATTTATTTTATCCATACTGGGATTAGTATAACAAGTTCAATAAATACCTACAGCATCTATTGATTTCACCAAACAAAATTTTCGAAATCGACGTTTCCTTTCATCTAAATAACGAGCATCCTTCTTGAAACTATGTATCCGGTGAGATACAGTAAATAGTAGTCTATCATAATATTTAGAAGCAAACATATATTCATAGTGTTGTGATACTGGTGTGCTCGACTCGAGTGGACTTTCCCTAAGCGCTCGAGAAAGCGGAAAAGCAGCTGCCGTGACTCCCGCGGCTTTTCCTGCCTAGTGCCCGCTCTTACAACTGCGTGCATCTACATCATGTTATCAATACTTACTTTGCCATTTTTTTAACTAAAATTTCGCCTAGATTTTTCTCCTTTGTCGATCAATAATTTATGATCACACGGCAGACGAAAATAATGCGATATTTAATGTAGAACAGTCTATAGGTGTTTTGAATGAGTTACGGTATTTTGGTCACTATTATTATTTTGTAAATTGTGTATAAACACTCATTTCCTTAAAGTTATCGTTGATCTTGGGCTGGGTTTTTTCGAACACGCTCTATGTATGTATGTAACAGGATATTAAAACTAGACGCGTAGACGTAAAATGGTGGACATAAAATGAAATTTCTGAGTATTTTCTATACAAAGCGTCTAAGAACTGCTTTAATAAAATCTTTGATATAAAGTCTTATCGACATTTAGCATAGATGCTTTTAATTCCCTATAGATGATGTGGAAGTGTGAAGTGCAAATATACATATTACAACTGCTTTCCGTCAGTAATGTTCAGCATGGTGTCAAATCTATATTGACTGTAACCTACTAGGTATTACAGAAAAGTACGAAAATTTTTAAATACAGGTATTTAAATTGAAGCTGAATCCCTTCTCTATGCATTTTAATTTTCTACCACTTTACAATACATTTATTATACGTACAAAAGTATAATAATATATTAATCTAATTAGGTTTATTATTTTTGGTATTTTTACATTTAACTTTACATACTTACGTACCTAGGTAGGTACAATATGAGGTTATCGTTAAGTCCGAGGGTTTCCACAAATAACATTAATAACCTTCAGGTTTTTGTAATTAAATTTAATGATGTTTTTTTACATTGTAGTATTACCAAAGCAAAAATATCTAGATACGAGTAACTACTATACAATTTTTCTAGTCGGTCAAGTGATTGCAATTAGCGATTATATGGGACGAAGCACATACTAATTATGATTGTTACTTAATTCACTTTTCATTATGAATTGTGATCTGCGGCTTCGCCCTCGTAATTTACGGAAAAAATAGCCTTTATCACTCTAGCCTCCTAAATTATATATAGACACAAATATCATAATTTAAAATCTAGAAGAGCATACCTGCTTACTTTTTCCAGGTAGGAATAACATGTATGTTTAGACCAAGTCGAATAAAACAACTATATCAACTATCCACTATCATATCAACAACTACACAGTTCACAGAACAGGATCTCAGGATAACCAAAATTAATTTAGCAAAAAATAATAATCTTTACATCAGCCTTGTACAATTTGTATTAACATTTTGTATTATTATTATTACCACTATAACCTCGAATTATTATTAAGTTTAAGTAACCGTACACTAAAACGGTATCATTATTATTAAATTCTTATTTTAATTCGTAGTACTGACGTAATCAACTGTAATGTTACTATTATATAATGTCAGTTTAATAACGAATGTTTAATTCCTTGTTTAATTCCTGGTTATTTTTTTTTCAGTAAAGTTTAGTTAGATTTGAATATTCAGGCCTAAAAATTAGCGTAGGAGACGTAATTAATCATAGATTTGTTTTAAGTGACACAGGGAATCCTAGTGTGAGGTCACTGACAGTCAGACGGACGGGCACTTCAATCCAAATTGTGACCTTTCAAAAGTGCCTAATTTAGGATTAATTTAAATAAATTCTTTGACTTTGTCCAGGACACAACAAAACTGTATTATTTTTAAAGAAGTATAATTTATCATTATATAAGTATTTTTATTCTTATTCTTTAAGTATTGATATTAATTAACGCAATTGTGATGAGCACGATGTCCATGAATTCAATATTGTGACTGGATTATGATTGTCTTCTTCCCAGTTTGTAGCATACAATCTTACAATTTTGCGAAAATTTTGTGAAAATATTTTAGGTAATGAGGGGTGGTGATATAATGTAGTTACTCTAATCTATCGTCACCACTTGCCAATTCAATTTATACTTTACTTACTGTTATTTATTATAATGTTTAATAATAATTAACACAAACTAATTAGTCTATCTATTTAGCTAATGAACTAACCATATTGACCCTTCAATAGGCCACACGCTTGGGCTCGCTGCCATTGCAGCGGTAAGTCCCCTCTTTGAGGAGTGGCTTGAGAGACGCTACGGCGTCCTCACCTACCGCCTGACGCAGGTCCTCACCGGACATGGAAGTTTCGGGAGGTACCTGTGTCTGATGGGGCGGGAGGAAACGCCCGGGTGTCATCACTGCGAGGACCGCCCTGAGGACACGGTGGAACACACCGTAGCGGAATGCCCTGCGTGGGCTGAGAGCACCGCCGTGCCCTCAGGGAAGTGATCGGCGATGGCGACCTCTCGCGTCCGGGCCTAGTGCAGGCCATGATGCGGAGCGAGGGGGACTGGGATGCCGTCTCCTCCTTTTGCGAAGCAGTCATGCTAGCTAAGGAGGAGGCGGGACGCGTGAGGCAGCGAAGCGCTGCCTCCTCGCGACCCAGCCATCGCGAAGGACACACCGGGCGTCGGGGATCGCGGGACGATCTCCGGCCACCGTAAGCGCGGGCCTGCGGACGGCGAGCATGGGTGGCTCCCCGTCCGACCAGAAACAGACCCGAGCGTACGGCGCGTCGCGTTCCGCGCGCGCCTCAAAGAGCCATCAGACCACCACAGATGGGGCCCAATAGGGCCGATGCCGATTCGGAGTCGCGGAGAACCTAACGGGTAACCGGGGCTCCGGCTCGACGTGCAGGAGAAGGAACGGGGTGGTTTTTAGTCAGTAAGAGTCTGACACTCCCTCCCGCCTCACCCAGCGGGAGCAGTCATTCGATGATTTTCCCCCCTTAAAAAAAAAAAAAAAAAAAATAGGCCACACGCTACTGATATAAATAAATAGGTTTCTAAGTAGCTGTAAGTGCGAAGTTTGTAATTTGATTATTTACGCTAGACCTTTAGAAATTTTGGAGGTGAAATAATTTCATGTCATTGATCCTCATGCTATCTTTATAGCTACTTGTAATTATGGTGATTATAACGTGATTTAAGATAGTTCAGAAGAGGATTAAAGTTCTCGCAATGAAAAGATAATAAGGAAATGATAAGTCATAAAAAAATCCATTAGGATTTATTTTTATTATTTTAAAAGATAAACTGCAACTTAACCTCTTGAAAATTTTAAAAAATCATCCCCTAAATTTGTTCATACAAAAGTAGTCTCTAAACAGTGGCAATAAGGTCTATAATGTAGTTAGTGGATAGCGGTCACCGGTGACCGATAACTTTCACTTTGAAAAAACAATAGTTACAATATTTATACATCTATTATTTTATTGAGCCTTTCATACAAGTGGGAGAATATAATATAAAATTATAATAGTGTTTAAATTATAAATAATATTTTATAAAGATTATGATCGACAATTGTATAGATATTTTACTGTATATTATTCAGTTGATGCTAATTTAGTGTAACGCCTAGATAAAATGACACGCAAGAATTGTATTTATTTGTTTGTAAAAAATCTCTACAATTATAGTCTTATCTGTTGAATCACGCAACTCTGTGAAACTATTGACATAACAAAAAGCGTGTTATTCTTCAAAACTAATAATAATTTTAAAATGTTTATAAAAGGGTAGGCAGTAAACCACCAGTTTAGCAGCTACATTTGTGTAATTTTCAGAAGCGTCATTCTCCAATTTTATAGAGAAAAAAAAAACAGTAAAATATTATCTGGAACTTAATTTCTAATTCTATATTCCTATAATTTGAAGCGCAATCGAAACTGTTAATCGCATTTATAACTTACTAGACAATCAATACAGTCAGACAACTGGCTTCTCAGAAACGACTATAAGTGCGACCAACCTAACTGCGAGGTAAGTACTCGACGCTTTTCAATAGTTTTAACTCATTTTCTGAATACTACTGACACTTTTGTGGTTGTAGGAAAGGGGCTAGTGACGATAATAGTATTAACTGTCGATTGCATAGCATAGACTTAGAAATGGTGGAAAACTTCTATCGAAACCGACTTCATTAAATGAAGAGTGATAGTTTCACAAAATCTATTTTACAATATTCTTATGCAAGAATATTGTAATCTAAAGAGAAAAGTTAATATTTCGTTCGTTAATAGTAAACTCAGGAAAGGGATTACATTTTCATTGTTCATATTTTAATGAAGTTCATATTACCAGTTTATG